ATTCTCCTAATTAATTAATTATTATGGAATAAAATTAATTCCTATTTAATGGAATTTAATAATAAAACATCCCACATAGTAATATTATTGCTCTCCCCATTTAGCCACTATTTTGCCAATAAAATCGAGCCTCCATGATTAAATAATATTAATCTGATTGATCGATTTATCTCCCTATGTTTAAGATATAACGTCTGTTGATTAACTAAATTACTGACAAAGTAATTAATCAACTTCTTATTCATTTCCGAAATTAGTACCACTCAGCCTTTAACCATTATGTCAGACAATCGTCTACCTGCAGGGTTTAACAGAAGGTTCCTTTCTGAGCTCATTTCGGGGACGTCATCAATCCAGCGCACTGGAACATAGTGACTGTAAATAATCTATAATAGCACATCATATAATTATTCTTACTTACCAAAATACCTCGTATGTCATCCTAACAGAATAGGAATCACTTGGTAAATCAAATAAATAAGAAATAAAAATATATGCCTATTTTATATTATTTTACAGCTTAAGAGAACGCATCAATTACTGAAGGTCAAGGTTACGACAATGGTCAGTGAGTTTCATATCCTTATCCTTCTGTGGTCTTGTTCAACACTTAACATAAGTGCTAGTGTAATCCTTCAGTCAAAGACCAACTGAATCGGGAATACACTACAGTGTTTTTCCAAGTGGGGTCTCACTGCCAGTCTAGACTGTGAACGAATAGTTTAGTCTTATAAGGAACCGATAGGTGATCTTTCCATTCGAAACTCTTCGAACCACACTATCTCAATATAAGACATGGAGTATGTATTGCATAAATAAATAAACTGCAAACATATGTACTTTGACCGAAACATGATTGCCAGATCAAAATGGAATTGATAGAAACTGCAAACCACAGCTTTTACAGCATACCTCTAACAATAATATCGTAACTTCAGGTTATGAATCACACATGTGGCTATCTAGTGGATCTATAATATCTAGTAGCACATATGGTGGGGTAGTGGGCCCATATATATCGTTCCCCTTTCATACTCAGTTTGGTCAGATATCGATTCATAAATATTTAGCTAGTAATAATTTTACCAATCGAGAACAAAGTATCTCATATCACAAAGAATCATTTAATCATGCAAATCATCATCATTTATATCAGTAAACATCACAATAATTTGTTATGACCCATTTATCACAAACATATCACATCAGCTTTCGGCGGCAATAAATGCACTTCAAGTGCATATTCAGACTCGCAATAATTTAATTCAGAATCGTATCACATGCGTATCATTCCTTCTGTACGACAAACTTTCTGTTTTTAGAGTTGTATAGCATACGCATCATTTCTATAAATTATCAGCCAATCCATTCAGTATTTCTGAACAAAGGTCCGAGTTTACAAATGGATTTAGCACTCTCAAATATCCGTAAATATTATCCATTTGTTCCAGTAAATATCATAAAAAGGATTTATCGGTCTCGAATAGAAAGATTGCGGGTGTTAATGATTAATGATAATCCAAGTGATATTCGATGGTTGATTGAAGCAAAAGTTCGATTATCAGGAGAGTTTCCGAATTCATACAAATATATGCCAGGTATGGGTAAGAGTACTTTTGCAAAGAAACGAAGAGCAAAAAGATAAGGTGCATGCTTCAAATGTGCTCGATGGACTTGTGACACACGATGTAAATCAGTGGGGTTCGTGTCCAAAAATCAAGAGGATAAAGTAGCATTTATAAAGGATGGATTGAGTAAGGAGTCTATGGATCAAACGATTCAACAGATTCTTGAGACACATATAGTGGGTATGTGCATCGTGAGCTTCTGTCTCTATGGATTCGTTTAAAAAATGAAGAGGAACGTTATAGTCTCAAAAATATTGTTTCAAAAGATCAAGTTTGTAAAACTAGTCTTTTTATTACAAAAAATCATACTAATGAAGTTTAGTAGTTACACTGTAATTTTCAGAAAATCTTATAATTGCCGACATATAAGATTTATTTTAAATCCAGCACCTTGTCTATCTGTTACAATTGTCAGAAGAAAACAGTAAGATTTTTATCGTTTGGTAATACTTTCCTTTTTAAATAGCAAGTCGTTCATCATAATCTTATGCCTCACAAAACTTTGAAAAATTTCGTTTATCAATAAATAGATGGATGTTTCAGAGTCTTCGCAAGGTAATAAATTTCTTCAACCGATCAAAACCATATGTGTTCTTGGTGGTTCTAGACTGGTAAGTTGTTCTCAAAATGTTGATATTGTGAGTCAGTTAGTAAGGGATATGAGAAATCAAAAAATCAATTTACTATATGGAGGGACTAGCATCACTTTCTTTGATAATCTTTTATTGGCTGGAAAATGTTTTGAGATAGAAGTGAAAAGTATCATATCTTTTCATAGGCTTAACAAGGGTCGTCAAGGATTCCATATGCATGATGCTAACTCATTCTATTTATGATTGTATGATGGATATGGTGAACAAGAGCGACACATTTATCATTCTTCCAGGCGGTTATGGAACGCTAATGACAATGTTCACCATTGCTTCTTAGGCAGAATTGAAACTTCATAACAAGCCCATCAGTTTATTGAATTTTAATAACTTTTTACATGGTTTGCTTGGATTTTTAGACCAAGGAGTATATCAAACTTTTATATCTCCTCTAACGAGAGAAGTATTCAAATCTGCAGATACGTCTGCTGAGCTTATCAAAAAAACTTCAAGAATGCATCACATTTCAAGATTCTGTGGAAACACAAGGAGTCAAGCAAAAAAGAGCTTTTGATCCCTTAGATCTCTCATTATGAACCCAGATAATAACTCTGTGTGGCAGAGTTACGGAGTTTTATACTCTCGAGACGCACCTTTCTTTTATGGGTTCTATTATGTAATATTTGCGTATTTCGTATTTATCGAGTATGTACTGCCTCTTGTCCATGTTTCCATCATATGAACTTTCTATACTTGTTTCTCAATAATATAATGTCAATTTCGCCTTTCCACAAGATAAGTGTGTAGTACTTCATGACTACAACTATTGTCATATGTGCTTCTTCTGGAGCACATTATTGTAATATTTACATGATATCGTTTTTATCAATGTGATCTTGTCACCAGATGTCTTTCGTTGCTTTTTGCCTTTCTTTTTCCCCCATATTAGGTCTTTTATTTCATTTTTAGTTCGTTTAATGTTTTGTTGTGTTTTTCCTTTATTTTGAGTTTTCTATTTTTTTTCGTTCATTTCCCGACTTTCTCCATTTTCCTTCACATTTTTGGTGTGTAGGTCGGATGCTTCATGAGGACAAGATTTGAGGAAAATATTGTTTGGGCAATCATAATTAAACAAAAGGGTTTGTTGGCGACGTATAGGAAAAAACAAAACTCAATTCCGAGTTCGGACGAGCTCAAACGAGCAAAAAACGCAAAGTTGTGTAGAACAGCCCCACACCGCGCCCGTGCCGAGGCGCGGCACCTGACACGACCCGACTAGAGAGCTTTCCAGGCACAGCTGCAGCGCGGTACCCCTCGTGCTCTGGCGCTCTGTGCGACCCGACTTGTTTTTCGACCTGTTTTTGCTCGATTTTTGATCCCTATATGTTTAGGCATGTTCCTAAACCTAGAGGAGGACCCCAAAACTCGTTTTTCTTCAGTTTTTCCTCTCTTCTTCTCCTTTTCTTCTCCTATCCTTCTTCTTCTTCATTTTCCTCTTCTTTTCATTATTCTTTTCCATTTTTTTTCTTCTTCTTCTTATTAGTTGGAAATTAAACTTGCAATTCGAATTCAACTCTTGGATTGGACTGATTGTAAGTTTTTCATCTAGTGTAATTCATGAGGATGATTATTTGGGGTGAATTTCTTGATTGTGTTGAATTCATGTTACATAACTAATTCTTATTGCTAGGGATAAGGGATGATTGTGCTTATTAAATTTCGTATCTGTCGGGCTTTATTTGTTCATTCTTGTGCGAGTTAATTGATTAGAGATTGATGTATTCTTGCTTGATGGGTAGATATAATCAAAATTGACA